GTTGACGCGCGTAATAGATCAACAGACTCCAGTTACTTTCCCCTGAATCCAAAATGGAGCACACCAGGATACGGCGGTAAGGGTATGATCTTCTTGTCGGATTTCGCATCTTTGAAACAGAGCCACGCTATATGTGATGGTATATGTGATGGAATGACAAGTTGTTGCATATAAACATATGTCGGATTTCGTTTGGTGCAGGAATAGAAGTTTTGATGTTTTCCACTTTGTCCAGGTGCGCCACTATGAGGGTAGCACCCGAGGCAAGTTTTATCGGTAAAACTGAATAACTCAGAGACAGGGGTTGTGTTTTGGGGAAGAAATCCTTTCCTTTCCCTACCCGCCTGGTCTCGTATCCCAATAGTCTCTGGGTAGGCATGAGTCCATCCGTTTTCCGCTACCGAAACTTCTCTGTAGATGTTATTTTCACTTCTTCTGTCTGCAATTGTCGTTTGTGTCTTTGCGGTCAAAGTACGGAGTATACCGTCAGATGGGAATGTGCAAAATCTGCAACCACTGTATTTTGGGAGCTTGAATGACCAAGGTTAACCGTGACCGCCTTAGACCACTCACTGTGCCCTGATCTTGAATTTCCAATCTAAATCTGCGTGCAGGATGTGAATGCAGTTGATAATGATATGCAATATTGGTTTTCATTTGAGGGGTTCTAATACATTCGCTAATGTCTCCCCAATGTTGAGTAAATAAAAAAGAATGGAGTACTTTCATCTTTGAGCTCAATTCCAACTCATTAATGAAATCATCTTCGATTGATGAAATAATGATCGTCAGATCTTGAAGTTTTCGATTAGCTGTCTGTTGTGATCAAAGCTTTCGAATGAGTTGAGTATTCTTCGTCCATCCAACGGAGAGAAGTGGTCAACGAGAAGGTGGTTATCACCGTCAATGCTCGAAAGCCATGTTATGATACTGTATGGAGGTTTTCTATATCGCATTTCCCCCGCTTTCGAGGCCCAAGAGAAATCAAGGTTGGTACCTTCAAGGGAGTACTAGCCTCATCCCACTTAATTATTATCCAGATGATGAATCTCCAGGTTTGGGATGGGTGATGAGCATGCCCGAAATTGCCACGGGTGCGTGATAGGGGTTAGGGATGAAAAAGCAAATATAGTGGCGTGTGAAGACTCGTCTCCATACGAACAGTCAGTCGCCATTCTGTCGAAACCTTTCCCTTACCAGCTCGAAGCCTTCCAGGAGCCAGCCAACAGCGATGACGCTGATAATCGCCATCACTATATAACTTCCAAAAAATGACAGCAATAAGTGAAGTGGTATCGTGATTAAGTTTTGAACTAAATACAATACAATTCATGAGTTCTTGCCCTGTCCAGTTTGCTTCTCGCCCTTAGTTTCACTTCCAATCTCAACCAACAAGAGGGCATACATACATAGCAAATGAGACTCTCACGAGCAAATGCGGTCACTGTGGGTGTGGTGTTTGTTGGGTGTCTTGGTCTTGTATCTGGAGAGGTAGATTATACTCAATGGTACCCGCCAGGGGCCGAGGACAGTAAGATATTTATCTAAATGCCTTTGAACATCATGGAATTCTGACACTGTTACAGTCCGTGGGCCTTGTCCCGCCTTGAACAGCCTTGCAAACCATGGAATACTGCCCCGTAATGGCAGGAGAATGACGTATCCAGTATTACTCAAAGGCATATTGGAAGGCCTAAACGTTGGGTTCGATCTCACTCTAGTTGCTGGTACTGGAGGGATGATAGGCGCAAAGAACCCACTTCAGCTTTACTTCGACCTCGATGATCTCGGAAACCACGATTTGTTTGCGGAACACGATGCGAGTTTATCTAGAGCCGATATTTTTTTTGGGGACAATATTAGTTTTAACGAGACGATTTGGCAGAGCGTACTTGATTACTTCGAGGACGACGAAACCGTAAGCTTCAAGGCTGCTGCCAAAGCCAGACTTAATCGAATCAAAACGGAACGCAAACGAAATCCTGACTTCACTTTCAATGCGAAAGATATGGTCATTAGCTATACTGAAACTGCGCAGTACCTGAGTGTATTTGGGCACCCGATTGACGGAAATCCTCCTGTGGATTGGATCAGGATATTCTTCGGTAAGAAAAATTTAAGACTTGATCTATATGCTACAAGTGTGCATCAGCGCGGCTCGTGACAATTTCTAACCAAGAAATAGAGCAAGAACGGTTGCCATATATCGAGGGATGGCGACGGCCAGCCATACAAACGAACGCGGCAACCCTTGTGCCTTTGATAGCAAGAATAATGGTCGCTGGAGGAGAGATTCTTCCCGAAGCATTGATGTTGACGGAGAACACTTTTAAAAAGATCCTAACCGGCAAGCCCATAGAGGGATTGATCGGGAGACTCCCATTAATAAATAAAAGATAAACAAGAGAAAAGTAAGGGTTACATCTGGCCCTTATATTTTTGTTCTTTTTCCTGCTGTATCTCACCGCTTGCCGCTTTCTCTCAGGCGTATGTATATACACATCATGATAGCCGCTAGGATAGCAATAATATTGACCTAATAACTCCCGAAAAACGTTATATCAATTGAGCAAGATAAATTCCCGATGTCGATATTCAGGGTAGCCCAAGGAATAGGGCCAGAAATTTTGAGACGGACAGCAAGTATTGAACAGTATATGTTTTCCGCAGCTGTGTCCTGTAATCCCACTGCAAAATATCCAGTTAATTATCCAGCTTATGCAGCGAGGTATATCGCACTGCTTGGATATAGGTTTCGTTGAACGTCGGCCGATGTTGAACGTTGGTGAAATCCGGAACTTTGTTGTGCCAGGAAGCTCTGCTTAGTCACCACCCATTCCGCCAAAATCGATGTCCGCCCCGAACTCCACCTCTAAGCAGCAAGATACCCAACTGTACAAATACTGCTAAAGCGCCAAAAAGCTCTATCGCAGTTTCATTTCTCATTAATTGAACTAGAGATTGTCCGTATTTCCAATGGAAGTTCTTCACAATCCCCCAGAGCCGTCCTCCTTCATCCCGCTCTCTGAGCACCAGTCGCACACCCCAGCATCCTTCTATTCAGGGCCTCCCATCCTGCACCATCTGAGCGAACGATGCAAGATTGTAATCCTAGAAAGAGAATTGAACAAGTCCGCGGCATTGAGAGGTTTGCGACCCCATGCGACAGGAACTGAAGCTACAAATGGAGCTCCATCCGCCGGCGGCGAAAATTCCACCCCCGCTCACACCTGCGCCAGTTCGGAGGAGGATACAGAGATTGTGCTAGAGGAGATTGATGTCTGGGTATCATCTGAGTATGCATGTTCATTTTATCATTCCAAGATCTATTCATTGCTGTTCATATCATGGAAATAAAAATGCACATTTTCTTCAAGACCACATCTATGACAGCTGGCGGTCCCTGACAATACAGACAGACGTCTTCTCCTCTATTCCCAGCCTAGGAAAGTTGGTGTCGCAATCCCATATCCTTCAATTTCCCTCCACGCAATCCAGCGCATTTGTATTCCGGGTTTCACCTCCCCAACCACAGACTCATCCTCCCCAGGAGACGAAAATACGGTGCAGGGTCTATACATGCAACTCGCAACAGACAGCAACGACAGCCAAGAAGACGAAGATATAGAAGAAGACAGCACATGTCTAACAATTGTGCCTCCACTTCCACCTCCGCAATCACAACCACAGCCTCAAGAAGAACAAGAACAACAACAGGACGAGCTACTCACGGGCGATGAAGACATGCCCAACCAAACCCCAACCCAAGAACTTTTTGCTGCCATCTCAGCCTGTTCAAACTTGCACCCAGACCCAACCTCGCCTCATGAAGATGGTGATGGCGATGAAGAAGGCGATCATGATACCCAGAACGAGCAACTGAATGATAGTGTTCTTTTCCAAAACGGGTTGATCACTCCTGGTAATAATGCAGGTGGGTTGCCACCAGCAATGCCCGGGAGCGGGGGTTGGATTACGGCGGAGAATGCGCATGAGTATTTTGACGAAGAAGGGAATTGGAAGGGCGAGGGTGTGCCATCTTTGGGGCCTGGGGCGGGAACCGTTAGGCCTCGTGAGGAAGGCGGCGAAGAGGATCCAGATGGTGCCGGAGCTGACACTGGTCCAGGCGGAGAGGAGGCGAAGTGGAGGAGGACGGACTGATTTTATGGCCCAAAAAGTTGGTTTTTCTTTTTTCTTTCTTTTTTTATTTTTTATTGCGCTTGCTTGCCACGTTCATACTTCTTACATATTCCCCAATGTAACGATGCTTTTCCGACTTTTACTTAAAAAGTAAGCAAAATTTGTGAAGACTAAAAGAATGAACAGTTAAAATGAAGAGAGATGGGCAAGTCTTAAGAAAACTAAGATTATTTCAACTGCTAGCTTTTATAAGATACATATATAGATCCCATACGGACCCAATCCCTCAGGGTTGTTAAGCATTAAGATATGACAACCGGCAAAAAAGGCATCGAGATTATAGGCTTCGATAGCTTGGTCCACCTATATACCAAGCAAACAACCCGTGAAATGAATAACAATGACACATAAACCAGGTGGGAAGAAATCCTAACTAAACTAAAAGATCCTAACACAGTAAATTAGACACTGTCAATACCAATGTGAAAAGAAAACATAAGGACAAGATAATACTCGTGCACGTCCAATAAAGCTAGACCAAATAAACGATACATGCAGGGGTATGCGAAAACAACCAGCATCCAGGCCACAAATTAAAGATCAACCTAAATATTCGAGGTGAAACGCCAGAAAGAAAAGCTAAATATCCACAGAAACAAGCAGAGAACAAAAAGGGGAGGAGATAGCACCAAACCAACGTTTCGTATATTCCCAAACGGAAAACGGAAGACGAAAACCCAGTCTAAAGAGGCAATACCAAGTGAAATTCAAACAACTAAAAACTGTTAACTCAACCCCCATCCTCGTGTCGCAGGCTTATCTCATGCCCCCCTTTCTCTGAAGCATCAACGCTGATACCATCATTCCTTTAAAAACCCAAATTGGTCATATATGCTCCCAGGAGTCCTCACAAGAGATGAGACCATCTGTTCCGCCCCTATTTCCATGCCTGCTTTCAACGGCGTTGAAGCCAAAGATTCCGAACACCACCCAAGTTTCTCCGAAGGCGTCTCCATTCCCTTCTCTTCCATAGGATCAGCTGTTGGCTTTTCGCTTGCCCGTTGGTTGTTCTTTGAGGGACTGGCTGTTGGTGTGGTTGATCCACTACCGGATTCATCCTTGCCGCTATCAATGCCATATTTTTCATTATTGAAATTCTCACCTGCACCGGCAGATTTCTCATCAGATTCACATTGTATCGCGATATTGGAAATAGATTGTATCGTGGCGAGTGCTGCGCGGAATTTTGGAGGACGGGAAGACGCTTGTTCCCTCATCAAAGGTAAAGGTAGGATGGGCAGTGGTCTTGGCTTTCTTATCCACGACTCTTCCATCTCTGAGTCCGTCTGTGGAGAGGCTGCAAGAAGAGCAAAAGCATTTCTCATTGGATAATTGCTGCCTTCGTGGCTTTTTTGCTCATTGCTCCCGCTAACGGTGTCACTGTAACTTTTCAGACTCGAGGAGCCGGAAACACTCCGTGGTGTTGTACATATCGGTATGTTTGTCAGTGTGCCCGCCATTGTGTTTGTTGGGTGGCGCTGGCCCTTCCTAGTAGTAGTGGTGGGCGTTATTGAAGATGAGCGGGTGGGCTGATACTGAGCCAGGAATTGAGATCTTGTGCTAGTTGAGTTGCGACGCAGCGAAGAACGACGCGGAATAGTGGGCTTTTCGTCAATGGGAGTCGGAGAAGCTTTTGATACACCATCCTCTGTAGTCGGGTTACATTGGGCAGAGGTAGGCGTAGTGTCAGCTTCGTCGTCGGCCAGATTGTGCTCGTCATTGTCAAAAGGATTCTGAGAATCCGCAGCAGCAGATGGCAGTTTTGAAGATGCCTTCTCCTCAGGGACTGTGACAGACGCTGTTGCTTGAGGGGTAGCTTGGCGTGAAATCTCCTCTGACTCTTCAATCGTTGGCGACAGCGAAGCCGGACCAGGGTAACCAATGGATAACCTACCGCTATTTTCTCGTTTATGTCCCTTCTTGCGACTATTGATAGTCGTCTTCGTGGAGATTGATAGGGTTAGGGAATCGGCACCACGAGATCGTTTAGTCGGACTTTCACTGCCAGCTGAACGTTGTGGGCGACCTTGCCGATTTTTCCTGTTCTCCGTCACAGGCTTCAGTATGCTAGAACTCACTAGTCCGTGGCCTGGCTTAACTTCACCATCAACTCTGGAATATTTATTCACATTTGGGTCATATATACACGGAGGTTGCTTGATTTCGCCATGGATGCTACTCTGAATCCATGGGCCACTTGGGACATACGACGGATAGTGCATCGATACACTTCGTCGAGGGGACGGACGTTCTTCGCCGTGCTTGTGTGAGCTGGCAGATGTCGAGCTATATCGACGCGGGGATGACACTTTTGAGATCCGGGAGACCGATCCGCCTCTACTAGAGCTTGGAAAATCCCAAACATAGGCCGAACCATACCGCTCATGTGTCCTTGGAAGGAGTGATCTGGCGGCCTCCAAATCAACAAAACCAGTCTCATTAGCGACATCATCAAGGATTGAGCTACCCGCAGTATCCAGGCTTTTGTTTGAAAGGAGCATCGAATCATGTCTAGTCAGTTGAGGTACTCCAGGCGGCCGGAGGGACGGCAAGGGAGGAACAGGCTGCTTTGGAGGAGAACCAGGAATTTGTTGCAGGATACTTTCAGACAGTCTTTTCGCTAATGCAGCATTAGCAATTGGCCCGCCCCGCATAGTTGCAGTAATATCATAGTACGATCCCTTTCTAGTAGTCTGTGGCCACGAAGTGATGCGGCCTCCCACATCCTCAGCTATGTTATCATTCTGCTGGGGCTGCTGGGTTTGCTGTCTTGACTTTGGCGTGCTGTCAGCTCGAAGCTCCGCGGCATCATGGGGGAAGGAACCAATGTTGGCAATATCTGAGGAGCTTTCGTAGGCGGGAGAAGATACGAAAGACTCGAGAGGTATATCTCTACTTCGTTTCTTCTGCAGGCGACGGGAATTACGCGTGGATGTAACTGATGTACGCAAAAACCTTCTCTCTGTCGAAAGACAGGGAGGTGGCTCTGGAATACCAATGGAGCCTTGCTGGGGAATGTTTTCCATAGAGCTTATTGCAGACCATTGCCTCGTGCCAGCGTATGGGAAAGCTATTGAAGACTGAAACCTTCCGCGAGACTGAGGGTACAAATCGCGGCTGCGCCCATTGGTGGAATGGTGTATATTCTTCTGCTGTCGAAAGCGGAGGCACAGGACTGTTATCAGCAATACAGACAGGAAAACGGTGACAGCACAAGTCACGGAAATCACAACAACATCGCTCAAAGCCATTTTTTCTTTCTTTTAAAGTTTGCTGTCAGTCGGCTGCCATGCGTAAAAAGCTTCTGGAGCACGAAGACAGGCGTGGGGGGGTAGTAAAAGGAATAGCACCAAACAGGGACGAAGTCTGGAAGAACGGTGTAGCAGGAGAGAAAGAATCATTCAATGAGAAAAGTAATGAATGGTTTGTTGCTCTTTACAGAGCTCTTTTCCGTCTGGCAACGTGTTGTCATGGCACTGAGCATGCTCAATGGCAGCTCTCATCATAATAGAACTAGTCTAACAATATCCTTGTCTTGAAGTAAAAGAAGCAGTCACAAACAGTGTGACTGTGTGTTCCAAAAGTCTTTAGGAGAGGAGAAACATATGATATTGCAGAGCCAATACCAGGACTTTTATATATGAACTTCAGATGCTATGTCAGTTCATAGTTAACAACAAAGGAAGAATCTGAAATAAGAGGGTTTGTGGCATGATGAATACAGCTTGTTATTACATCAAAGAGTTGAAGCAACTTCAGCACCCACGAAATAACCCATTTTATTGCCTGAATGCAAATATATATCAAAGGCTCAACTGTTATCCCAGGTCTTGCAGGGCTGAAAGGCACATCAGCTATGTAGGCTCCGTCCAGGGGTCTAGGGATATTCAGTAGCAAAAGGAGACGCAACAGACGTCCATGGAAACACCAAGTGCTCCCCCACGTAAGCTCTCATAGCAGTAACGTGACCGACCAATAAATGAGCTGCGATTTTCACCAAAACTAGCTTCAACCCCCCATTTTGCAACACTTCACAAAGACCAATGAGGATTCAATTCAGCTTGCAATTGCAGATTTGAAGTTGCAAAAGGTCAAAAAATATCCTGCTACTGCTAGAAAGTTCAGAATCAACAAGAAAACACTGCATTAGTGATATATTTAAACTTCATTATCACAAAATGAAGCTGTTTCATGTTATAAAAAGAAGATCTCAAATTCACAGAAAGAGCAGCTGCTTCTTCATATAAAGAAGCTGACAGCTCTCAACTTTGCTTCTACACCTTAAATTATTTGAAATCTTATTTCAGAGATTATAAAAGAGTTAGTTGAAGTCAATTAAATAAAGCACTTCACAAAATGATATTCAAAATAGATCAAATCTTTATATATTTATAATATAAATTATAAGTACAAGGTTACAAATAATTTTTCTCATTTTAAATATTATTTTAAGCTGATATTTTAACTGTTTTATTGTATTATATTAACTATAGATTTTTACTAATAAATTAACTGCTTATATATATAGTCAACTAAAAAAATTGAAAAATATGATATTGAGTCTAAAAATATCTATAATTTTGATAAAAAAAACTTTTTAATTGAAATTGATCAAGTTAATAAATATATTTCATTATTTCATTTATTTAAAATAAAGTAAATCACAGCGGTTTAAAATGATAACTGTGAATTCATCTCTCTACTAGCTGTAATTTATACTAATATAGTAGTACTTTTATCTGCTCTTATATATAAAAGTAATTCTTATGATATACTGAATATTTAAATAGAAAATTTTGATAAAAAAAATATAACTTATTTTATAATCAGCAGTAACAATTGAATTAATGATAAATATGAACTTATCTGACTGAAATAAATATTTAACTCTATTATAAAGTAGAAAGCTGACTGAAGATAATATCTTTTTATTTTAAATAAGTATTTATCTCATGTAAATATTGTTGCGGCGCAGCTGCTTGTATATGGATTGTTAGGCTCAGCGTCCGACCGAGCCCGACCGAAGGCCGGTGCCCGGTTAGACTCGACGTCGGATTAAGCTCGGCGCCCGATTAGGCCTAATCCATATCACGTGACCACACGACCATGCAGGTGGTTATAATCCACGCAGGCCCCCAGCACCCCCTTTCATCCCATCAAGCTTAGTATTTCGTTATATAGCAGTTAGCAACGCAGAGAGTCTTTCTTCTTATGCAGCTCGCATTCGCTCCCTAACACAATACTAAGCTTCCCTTCTACCTTCTCACTCAGGTTTCAGCAGAAAACTTGAGTGCCTCAGTTGAATTAGAACCTGCTAGTTCAGAGCCTGACAACGCGTCAGATCAACTGCTAAGACAACAGCACTGTTGAAGACAACGGCTCAATCCAACATCAGATGGCCACCACAGGCTCCCAACCCCCTGGAAGGGGCCGAAAGGACTGGCGATACCTCCTAACAAGACCAACTGACCAACCACGCGTCTCAATTGAGGAATTCAGAGAGGCAATCCACTCGGACAGCGACCGTGTTTATAATGAGTTGGCGGCGATCTTCGATGGCATCTTTGACGATGAAAAAACACTAAGGGATACAATCACACGTCTGAGGATGGAACGGAACAACGCCACTGACCAGGCCGCTGTCAAGCAAAGCCAGATTGATGAGCTAATTGCTGAACGCGATGAACTTAGCCACACCCTGGTCCGCATGACAGTCAGCAACCAAGCAGCAAGTCGAGGTGTCACCCCCTCTGAGACTACCCGGAGGTCTGTCAAGATTGATGACCCAAAACACCTCACTGACGGCAAGGAGCCAAAATTTGAACACTGGCTCTCCCGGATGAAGAACAAGCTCCGGGAGAACGCTGACCACTACCCTACTGAACGCATGAGGATTGCATACATCGAAAACCGGACTGATGGGGACGCGGCACGTCACATTGCGCCCTGTATGGAAGAGGACCACCCCGAGCGATATCAGACTGCAGAAGAGATATTTGAGCACCTCAAGTCAATATATGAGGATGCTAACAAGCTGCAAAATGCCAAGAGTGATTATCGCAAGCTGATTATGCGCAATGGGGACAATTATCATGAATTTGTCACAAAATTCTTACACCTGGCAGGTGAGGCCAAGATTGCCAGGGGGGACTACAAGACAGACTTCAATGACAAGCTGTCCTTTGACCTCCAGAAGATGGTAGCAGTAGCCAATGCGACCACTGATACATATGCTGAGTTTCAGAAAATCTGTGCGCAGGCAGCTCACACCCTCCAGACAATCAATGCCACCCAGAAATCAAAGAGCTCGCGGGGAAATGGGCCTAATACCTTCAAGCAGAACACCCTGCGGACTGCCAACAGTCAAACACCCCCCAGCATCTCTACAACAAAATCCCCTACTGTGAAGGAGGCCTTGAGCTCTCGTCCGGATATTCAGTGCTACTACTGTAAGGAAAAAGGCCACATTGCCAGGAACTGCCCTGCAAAGCAGAAGTCCCAGCAGGTGATTGCTGAGCTCACAGGGAATGATGCCCCTGAGCCTTCAGCAGATTCGGGAAAAGAGTGAGCCTGAGAGAAGACTCCACCTCAGGTAGTTCAATAGTCTGTGAGAGGTTTGAGATGAAGGACTTGATTGGGGGGAAAAGCTTTAATGTGCCAATCAAATTAGCCTACAATGGAATTGCTACTTCTACAAATTCTCTTGCTGATACTGGAGCAAATGGAGCGAATTTTATTGATACCCGATATGCCATAGAATTGGCAAGATTCTTTGATAGGAAGTTTCAAGAACTCCCATTCAAATGCCGCATGAAGGGATACAATGGCGCCCCCGGCGGGGTGATAGACCGCACATTGACCCTAAACCTCTGGGTGGATGGCCGGAGATTTCAGAATGTCCCTCTGCTGGTAACAGACCTAGGCCAGCACCCTGTCATCCTGGGATGGAAGTGGTTGGCAGCACAGGATATATGGCTTGATGTTAAAAACCAACGCCTGGTTTGGCCGAGTGAACGGTCTATCCCTGAACAGGTGGCGGAGCCGATGTTGAAGATAGTACCCTGGTCAGTACTGAAGCGCCCAGACCCCAAGCCTGAGCATCAGGCGGATGTGGAACGAAGAGAGATCAAGCTGGATGAGGAGATCAGACAGGAGCATCAGGCTCAGCTCCGCAGATTGAAAGGGACCAGCTCAGTCATGATGCCTGAGACGAGGCAGGGGCTGACCTGGGAGGAGACAGCACCACAGATGATGGATATGAACTTCATTGGGGCTGCTTCCTTCCATGGTTATATGAAGAACAAGAAGTCAACAGTCTTCATAACCAGTCTGTATGAAATTGATAAACAGCTTGAGGAGAAGCGGGGTTTAGTGGGAGCTGAGGATGAGTCTGATGAGGAGCTGATCAGCAACTTACCAGAATGGTTGAAAGGCCGGGAGGACTGCTTCTCAAAGAAAGCATCAGATGAACTGCCCCCCCTACGGAAGAATGTTGATTTTAAAATAGAGCTCCAGCCTGATGTTGACCTCACCCAGGGCATTGGACATGCGCCTCTATATAAGATGAATCTAGAGGAACTAGAGGCAGTGAAGACCTACCTTGAAGCCAACCTAGCAAAGGGTTTCATCACCCCAAGTTCAGCCCCCTACGCCTCCCCAATCCTGATTGCCCGTAGTGGGAAGAAGCTACGATTCTGTGTTGACTTTCGCAAGCTGAATGCTATAACCAAACGAGATCAGTATCCCTTGCCCCTGATAGATGAGCTGATGGACCGACTCAATGGGGCGAAATACTTTACAAAGTTGGACATTCGGCAGGGGTTCCATCGCATCCGAATGGACCCTGAGTCTGAGGACCTGACCACCTTTAGAACCCGCTACGGGACCTATAAATATCGGGTGGTCCCCTTTGGCCTTACAAACGCCCCTGCCTGCTTTCAACGGTTTGTTAACAGTATCTTCTTTGACTACCTGGACAAGTTTATGACAGCATTCATGGATGATCTTCTAATCTATAGCAAGAATCTGGAGGAGCACAAGCAGCAGGTAAACTCAGTGCTAGACCGACTAAAGACAGCGGGTTTGCAAGCCAGCATCCAGAAATGTGAGTTTGCAGTCCAGAGGACAAAATACCTAGGGTTCATCATCAGTACAGAAGGGATTGAGGCAGACCCAGAGAAGACAGCTGCCATTGTGAGATGGCAGGCCCCCACCACAGTCAAAGGAGTCCAGTCATTCCTAGGATTTGGCA